AAGCGCAGATTATGCAAGCCAACTGCCTGGATTGGGCCCATGGTAAATTGTGGCCATAATTCAGGGAATTAAATTTAAATTTGCCCGGTAACACAGTATTTGACCCGAGCCTCGATGACCCCAATTGCCCCGGCAAATAATAGTTCAATTTCTCACGGAATTCATTATTCAGAAGTGGACAGCATAGTTGGGTAGACTCCTCCGGCTCCTTCGTCCTTATTTACCATTCTGCAGACCTATTAGCCTGCATACTTGAGTCGGAGAACCCTGGCAGCGGCTGCCATTGAAATGACTTTTAAAACTTTTTACAGTTGTAATTATTATAAATAAATGAAGCGCAATTTGGTGTTGGTATCGGGGTTCCCAGGACCCTTCCCTCTTTCGTTTATTTCTGTTCTCTTCAAATGTCCTTGACGTGTGCGTGTGTCTTTATGTGTGTGTCTGTGTGGTTCTGTTTGTGTCTGTTTATTATTAACTTGAATGACGACCCAAAAATTTGCTCATTTCCAGAGCTGTCAGACGGGGACTAGAAAACACAGAACACAGAGAGAGAGATATATGTAGATATGTAGAGACAGAAAGACAGACAGCTAGCCAAGGAGAAAGGAGTGGCCAAAATCCTGGCCGACACTCAACTACAAATTGGCCAGCAGAGCAGACATGTGCAGATGTCCTGCGACACATTCACAGGCAATTATTCAGATGGGCTTCGGAACCAATTTGCTTGCGGCTCGATGATGACATTAATTTCCAGCTCGTAATAATATGTTATAATATTTTTTTTTTTATGCTCCATATTTATGACCGAAAAGGCGGCCTGCGGACAGCAATCTGCGGACAGCGGATAGCGGGGCAGCGTTACGAGCAAAACAGATTTTCCACTTTGCATAAATTAAGTAAAATTTAATGGCTGACTTGTTTAAATGCTTTCCTGCGGCCCGAAACTGTTTGCTTAATGAAATCGAAAAGTTTAGATTCGCAATCTCTCTGGTGCATTGCTTTGATGACTTTTCATTAAATTACGCTTTCCGCATTCCATTTCCCTGGCTTAGAGAACGCCAGACTGAGCGCTAACAAAGTTATAAAAGCAGAATTTCCTATTTTCCATTTGCCATTTCCTTCTCTGCTTCACTGTCTTTCCACTTTCGGCTTCACTGCAGCTTCAGTGACAACAAGAATGTATATCCATCAGGGGAATCCTCTAGCCAGAACCAACCGAAACCCGAAACTTGTCCGAAATGCATTCCCTGACCTTGACTTGGCCAAAATGGCCATCACTTAGCGCCCTGGGAATGTTAATTACTTGGCCATAAAACTAGCCAGCAATCTCGATCCGTGTCACAATCAAACTATTTATGCAATGTGCGTGGGGCACAAGGCACGGGGCATGGCGAATGTAGCATGGGGCATGGGGCATGAAGAATCCCCAACAATAATGTTGTTCTAACCGATTTGATTCGAACAACAATTGAGCCACATTCTATCGCAAAAGCAAACAGCTGGCGGGCACTGTCGTAGGATTGTGGGTCGGAGATTGAGGATTGTGGTTTTCGAATGGCAGTGATGAGCAAGGTACTCGGTCTTCGTCTAGCTAGGATGAAGGGAGGATTGCTTGGTAATGGAAGTTAATTCATTCAATACTTTTCTGAGGAAATGAATATTTGCATGGCATGGTCAATGATATAAAATATCTCATCAAAGCTCACTTAGTATTATTTTTTGGAAAATTCAAGGAAATTGCTTAGTAATTTCGTGAATATTGGAAGTGTAATGTACCTTCGTGTAGTTAATAGTACTGAAAAGTACTGTCCATAAGTACAGAACTCTTCTGCCGCCTTCGGCGAAACAACTGGTAGGAAAACACTCATTGTAATTCGAAATCAATCAATTGAACTCATAAAAAAGTGAGTGGGAAGTTGAGGAATCAGGCCAAATGCCCGCATACCCGCATCTGCTAGCAAACAGTTTGCTCCTCCCTTGACTGTTTAATACTTATTTAATCAAGTTAATGTAGTTAAATCAGCTTAAGCAAATATTCCCAGCAGTAGCGGCCGTCGAACACAATGGCCCCGGCCAAGATAAACCGATGACTATGGCCTTGGTTGGGGAAAAGCGGGCTTTCCATTCTCGCACACATAAACTAATACAGATAAAAGGGCATTCATTACAAAAGACCAAAGCGGCAAAGTTTTTCATCGACGGCGATGTCAGATTTGCGACATCAGCGCAAGGATCTCAGGGGTACACTGAGAGAAGTTCGGAAACTTTCTTTTGTGGGATAGTTTTTCATGTTAAGAAAAGTGATTTAGCTTGGCAGTGCTTGGAAAACTGATTTGATTAAACAAACATCTAAGCCATATTTTTCTCAGTGCAAAAAAAAAAACAAAGAGAAGGTTCGAAAGAAAAGTAGAAGAGCGGAGACGGCGAATAGACCTGGGACCACGGCCAATGGCCACCGAGTGACCACACAGCCTGGAGTCATTAATATTAAGTAATCGTGAAGGATGCTCTCTGGTGTATAATACGAGCTCCTCCTCCTCCTCGACATTTCTCCTTTCCCTTGACTTTTCGCCGCCCTCTCAAACAACCTGTGCTCGGAAGTTCGTGAACCCGCTCATTGACCATGAGTTAACCATGAGTGTTGACTGTGGTCGTAAATTCACAGCCACCCACCCACACACACACACAAACATTCAGTTATGAAGAACCATGGGGACAAAGGGGCGTGGCTAGGCCTACTGTGCCGCCCACTTTCAATGCCTCACAATGGACAGATTAGTGAAGTGCCAAGAGCAAATGGACTTGGGCAGGAGTCGTCGCACAGCTGCACAAAGGGGAAATGGCCCGAACGGAAGCCAAATGGGGGCTAAATCGAAATCTGGTGGTCAGCAAAGTGATTTCGTGAGTGGTAAATCCAAAAATACATTCAACAATCGAAGCGGTGATTTAATATGTGCCAAAAAATTAATTAAACAAGATTTAATTACTAGTTTTGGGAGAATAGGGGTTAAAGGGACACTAATCACCATATCTAAAACTGAAAACTTCAAAAAAGAGATTTAATTTAGGTCCGGCAGAGTCATTAAATTGATATCATCCAATTCCTGCTTAATTGCTGCACAAAAGAAGCAGCCAAATGACTCCAACTTTGCACCTTTGATTAGGTCCTGCTTTTTTGTGGCAGTCCGGCTGCCAGGCAGACAGGCAGGTAATCTAAAAGTTTTCCATCTTTGAGCCTTACGACCCTTCTGGGAAATTTACCCCAGCCTGATGGGCTCTTCTTATAAGTGTATGTACGTACGGGGAGCCAAACAAAAAATGGGTTAAATTTATGAGCTTAAGATAATGTGGTGCCCAAAAAAAAAAAAAAAAAAAAGAAAGAGCATCCACAAGGAGAATCCGGCGCATGTGGAGGACATTCAACGTAATTTGTGCCACCTTACCCCTGACTTCGGCGGCCTTAACCGAAATTCAAATTAAATCAGCTTGGACCTGACCAAAGTTGGGTTCACATTCCTTGAAGCTTTAATTGCACATTAAGCTTAATTAACAAATTCATGGACGAGACGTGGCCTCCAATGGCCCAAGCCATCATGATGATGTGATGCCTGCCATTTGGAGATGCGGAATGAGGTTGGAATAGTTTTTACACATTTGATTAAAATGCTGCAACCCCAAGTTGTCCTGCTCATTTCTCGCTCTCGCTTCCAACACCAACGCCCGGCAATTGTGGCTGTGCAAATTGAGTTTGTGGCAGCTTTGTGTAAATTTAGCCGGACACTCGGACACGCTTAGCAAATGAAAATGCCACAAAACTGGCCAGGGAGCGAGGTTTAGCAGCGGCATCTTCATTAAAATGTTGCACTGAGCCCCGGGCGTCTTTTCAATGCCCATGCCCCCTCAAAATAAGATTAAGCAAAAAACAGCATAAATCCCGAGCTGCAGCTTGCAATCCTGGCCAAACAAAAGCCGCCTGCCCTTGGCCCCTTGGCGGACTAAAGCCAAAAACTAGGAAAAGAGAAAAAGGAGAAAAAAACAAGAGATGAGGGTGGCCAACGGGGCGTATGAGCGTTAAATAAGTGTGTGCAAAGTATCTGCGGCCAAGTTGCGCTCATTAAGCGAATTCAGGCCATCTGAGAGGGTGGTGTTGGGTGATGGGCGTTTCGTCGGCTCACAATTTCCCAGCCAGCAGTCACCTTTTTCTAATACCTTGCAACGTAGGCGGGTGCACTTGAGCAATATGAAGGCAACAAATCCGCACAAATTGCACTCGCAGCGGGAGTGAAAAACGGGAAAAGAAAAACGGAGTGAGAGCGGCTGTCATGCGACATTATTGATTTAAATGCCATAAACACCCAGAAGTAGCACACACACACACCAGCGTTGCGACGCACACATCGAAGCTCGGCAAGTGGCACATCCGAAAGATACTTTGAATGCTTTTCGAGATAGCCCGCAGCGGAAGCTAAAAGCCAAGAAAAACAAACATGCTCCTCCAAAAACCTGTAACCTGTAACCTGTAAGGGTGTACGGGAATGTGTGTGTGTGAGTGTGGGGCTGGGGTGAGCTGCTGACATTAATGTGTGTTGGTAATATGCCACACACGTAGACAACTATTAACTAAAAGAGACACAGACGGACGCACTAAAGCATACATTTAGGCGCTAGGCGCTGATGGGTGGATGTATGTGGTGTGTGGCAGAATGGTGACATTTGCTGGGAGTTGGCCTATGGGGGACGGAGAAGGGAGATATATCCTGGCCAAATGACTCCTCCCGGCCTGTAAAGAAAATTTGTAACAGATGCGGGCCAGCTCACAATTGACTTCACAGCGCCCGCGAGTAATTGGAGAAACTGCCGGCTGCTACTGATATTTTCCTTTTTTTTTTTTTGTATTTCTGTTTTTGCTGGCTTTGTCGCCAGTAGGAAAAGCGAAAAACGCGCGATCCGCCCGCCCTTTTCTGGGCCGTAATTGCGGGCCCAGATAAGCGCTTTATTACCGATTCACTGGCTTTTATCGCATTTTAATAACTCACGAAAAAATGCGCCAAACGAGCCGCCCACCCAAAACAAAGTGTTTACGTTACGTTACGTCGTCGAGCCGTTACAAACCGAACCGACGTATTAGCGGCGGCAATTGGCAGAATATCGCACGTTGGCTTGCCACTTTCGCGATTGCCAGTCAAAGCACAACTGACTTGGATTCCGCTGGAGGAACAGAACTGAACGCTACGACGGTTGCCGCTGCTTTGAATTCGAAAACGAAGTTTGGTCGTGCGGCATGAAAGAAAAGCCGAAAGCACGTGGAAATGTCCGAGGAAAAGCCGAGTGGCCAAGTGCCGAACCACCAAATGCAGCTGTGTGGGCGGTGGGCGTTCAAAAATGTGGGTGGCCTTGCTCACTTGCATTGCCAAATTGCTGAAGATGCCGCACGGAAGTGCGTGCCTTGCTGCAGTTCTGCCGGGTTATTATCCCAGTGAAAGACTAAGGATTAAATTCGTATATGAGCACCAAGCATGTATGCGAATTGAGTAGCAATGGCAATGCATGTCTCTTGCTGATTATCTTGCTGATAGAATGGCTTAATAATGCCAAAACGCTAGCAGAATACATTACGTTTCGAGGTAATTTAGACTTTAAATTATTTCTAAAGTTTGCTTGAAAGGTGGGCTTCTATGAAAACAAAAGGCTTTTGCGTTGTTTAGTCTTTTTGGTTGTCTTATATAGATTTTTATTAGAGATTATAGATTTTACTGTTATAACCATTTTGGGAAATGTTTTAAGCTTGCAAGCTAACAATATTATGCTGTGATTTCTGTTCGTTTCGCCTTGACTTTCTGGTTATCTCTACTGATGTTATAAGCAGGTTATGCCTTGGCATTTAAAATCCCACTGTATCTGGCCTGGCCTGTCATTCTGTTGCGCAAATTAGCCACCACCCGCTCCACCCTCCGGCGGGTTAAGCTGACTTTTTTGTTTTCTGTGCGACTGTGTGGGCTGCTTAGCTAGTTTCAGCTTAGCCAGCTGTCTGTGTGCCTGTGTGCGTGTGCATCAAATCATTGCCGACTTTTGTGCGCAAATATTTACGACAACTGGCAGCTGCTTATCCCCGCACCCCTGCCAATGCACTGGGCAAAATTTAGTAACAATAATTTATATTTTCACAATAAGCTGATGTTTTTACAGCAACTCTGCCTTGTGTCCCATCATTTTGTATGTGAATTTTGTTTAAGCAGCTGTTTAAACGTGTCATTTGCACTTCAGTTTCGTAAGAGAAACGTAAGAAAAAATATGGCTATGGCAAATAGTCATAATACTTGTGGAACTAGACGTTTTATAATTAAAAATAAACTTGGTCAAGTTAATAGTAAAAGTTATTTTTTAAGCAAGAAATACCTGACATACGTGTCGTATGAGTGTTTTTAGTCTTCAGAGTCTGAGTTACGTGTATAACGATTTATTTTGAATAAAATATTAAAAATTGAGTACTGTATAGAGTAGAAATACATACTTTATTTATTTAAAAATGATTTACTAAATCAACTTCTTGCAGTGCACTGTCCCATTCCCAGGCTGAGAGGACACCGAAAAGAAACAAAAGCATGCGTCTAACATCTAACGACGACAACAACCTGTCACGCCAGCTGAGGTACAACCAGGGGGCTTTGCTTTTTGGGCAAGGGCTCGGAAATGGGCACCGAAGGTAGGGCGATGGGTGCCCTTAACCTAACAAGGTACCCTGCAGAGACTGAGTGAGAGCGACAACAATGCGTCGGGGGTCAGTAGCAGGAGCCAGTAACCTGTGGAGGAGCCGGAGCTGGAGCTCCACATGAGCTGACACTGGCAGTCGAACAGAGGCCCAGGGATCTCTGTTCGTAATGGCCTCTAAACAAAAGGCGTGCTTGTTTGGCAACGGCTCACCCTTCGTCCTATCTCCCTATCACCCCATTGGCCCATCAACCCCCGTCGCCCCGCCGTTCCAATGCCATGTGTACATTTGTCTTTTTGCAAATTAATTTATAAACACAATTGACATTGAGCCGGAATGTAAATATGCCGCTGAGAATGGTTGTTGCCTTGCATTAAAAATTCAAGTCCCACTCTGTCACATCTGCATGCTCGCCACATGTGTGCGTGGGTGTGGGCGTGTGTTAGTGGAGAAGGAGTGTATCTGTGTGTGCGTGACACTCCCCTATGAGTGTGGGTGTGTGGCTGTGTGTTGTTGTTTGTCTTTTGCCATGGCCTGGCATTTATATTTCCCTCCAGGAAGCAGCAACAAAAGTTGCGAAATGCCAAGCTGACGTTGCACTTAAGGAAATGGGCTAACACAAATATTGCTGAAATAGAGGACAGCCGGGGTGGGTGGCGCCGCCAAGGGAAATTCCAATATTAGTTATGACCTTCAAGTGGGCCACTTTTCGAATAAATAATTTAATAAATTGCTAATTGAGCAGAGGCAGCCATCAAGATGCATACTTTTCCTAGCCAAATTTCTTTGTCGAAGTTGGAGTTCCTTAAAGTAGAAACAATTTTAGGGTGAAGTGCCCAGCCCCTGAAGGTCCACTTTTTACAAGAATTTAAACAGAAAGAAAAAATTGGAAGTTTTTAAAAATGATTGAAAAACTTTGCATGATTTTAAGAAAATGGAAAGTCTATATCTATATCTAAGCAAGATATATTTTTAAAACCTATAAGCCAACAGAATGACAGCTTTTATGCTAACACAATTTCTCTCTCTGCATTCAATTGGGAAAGAACAGAAAGGAAAATTGGAAACTCTAGTCGCCTTAACTTTGCTAAACGGTTATTAACTTTCCAACGTATCTGCTGGACCCTAATGCCTGGAAAACAGCAACTTTATAACGAAAATACAGTCATAGTCGTTCGTATGTTTGCACCGGAAAAAAAGAAGTGCTTAGGAGTAGAAAGCACTTTGGATGGGGAACCACAACAACAAGTTGTCGTTGACTTACCAAACTGATTTGCAATTTTATAAAGAGCTTGGCTCTAACACAAAGGCAACAAGGGGGTGCTTCGGTTCTACAATTTCGAGGTACGAGGTACAAGGTACGAGATATATGCACTGAAAGGAGAGAGGCGAAAGCACCGAAACAAAAGCCGAACAAAACTTTTGTTTGTCCTCATCGAGCGGCAGAAACTGCTGACTGACTTGGCTGAAATTTGTCGACCGGGCCTAAACCACAGTGGCTCCCTTCATCTGGTGAGCTGTTGGTGACCTTTTTTGGCTGGCAAAAATTGTAAAACTCATTTACATAACAATTACCGCTTGACACGGCGATGTCCCCCCATCCCCTCAACTTTTCCACAACCCCCCTTCCGCCCTAGCTCATCCACTTTCTGGGCAAACAAAACTCCACATTGGGTAATACTTTGATGTTGTGGCTCACATGTTGTCCCTTTCCGTTTGCCTTTCCGTCCCACTCCCCCGCTGGTGGCGCCACCTGCCGGCACTTGCGGGACTGACATTTTATTTAGATTGCTTTGCATTTTCAACTTTTCTCCGTTTTCCAACCGCCAACTGCGTGCAGTTTTCGTTACACAGAAAGCAAATTTAAAAACTATCAAATAAGTATTTTATATTTTATATACTAAAGTTATAAATTTCGATGTTAAATGTTTAATTGTTAATAAAAATAACTTTCTTATAAAATATAAAGTTTCTGTTGCCATTTTACGTTTTCTTACATTAGTTTCAGGAATTTTCTTCTCTGCACCTGACTAGACTTCCCCCGACCATTAAACTCGTTGGCTTTTATTTCCCTTCCCCGCACTTCACTTTCATTACGTGTCAGTTGCATTGTCTTGACTTTTGCGCATATATTTCCCGGAGTTTTCCCGTCCCCCAGTGGATTTTTTTTTACGTTCGTGATGCGGTTCCGCCTTGATTATGTGACACAGGGAGCTGAACTGGTTGGCTCCCAGACACTGATTAGCCAAAGCACTTACAATTTCATCCAAAGTGTTCGTCGGCTCCTTCATACCATGACGTTAGAGATTCATCCAATCTGCCGGCGAGAGAGAGAGAGCAAACAAAGAGAAGTCAGAATCAGCAAACAGACAAACAAATAATCATTAAATATCAGATATACAATGGGGCGGTTGGGGGAGATGTTTTGAGGGGCGTCGATATACAAGTGTCTGCACCCGAGAAGGTGGGCCACCCCTATCCCACGAGCCTTTCAGCCCCCCTGTGGAATGTGTGAGTTTGGCAAATATATTTAAGGAAACCAGACAAACAGACAATTTAAATTTGTATTTTCAACAATTTTTTGTGGCTTCTCTCTCCTTTGCTTTTGGCACCATTCTCTTACCAGGGGAATACGAGCCAAAGGAGGATTTTGGCCAAGAAAGAAAGCAGTTTTTATTTCTTTTAATCAAAGTTAGTTAAAATTGTGTGATATAAAACGAATTTAAAGAGTGTTTAGTCAGATTTTAAACTTCTTCCAGAACTTAAAATCAAGAAAGGCCTTAAGTTTTAGCCAAGAATTCCCAAGCTCTTCCTATTTTCAAACAAGAAATATTGTCTTTGATATAAACTGCAGTTAAAAGGCAGTTTTATTAGAAGAACCGCTAATATATTTCGATCACGTTCGGAAAGTGTAGTCTACGTTTCGCCACGATAAAATTGTGTTTTTAAGGGGAGGTGGTTAGGAGGTGGCTTGGAAGGAGGTTTGCGGTTGCCAACAATGCTAACCCACAGGGACTGCCTCACTGCCTGACTGCCTCACATGTATACAAAAGGCAGCCTTATCAATTTCAAGCATTTTGCCGTAAAAATATTAAAAAAAATAATTTGCCTTTTCTCCATGCAACATTCAGAGTTCGAGGGGAGATAGGGAACCCAATGCCCATTTCCTTTCAACACAGCAAACCATCTTTCACCCAACGCAAATTCACTCTTTTTATGTGACTTATTTAGTTCAACAATGATGGAAAAAAAAGCAAAGGACACTGGCACTGGGGAGAAAGTTCATTCTTATTAAAATCATGACATATACACAGAAGCAGCAGAGCTCGCAGTCATTTGCATTTTCCCAAGCATGGTTCCTGGCTCGGCCTAGAGTTTTT